GTACCGAGCCCAAACGCGAATGCGAAGCCGATCCTTTCCTTCCCTCTGCCTACGTACGTATTCGTACGTGTTTATTACGCATTCGACGACGGCGGCAGGAATTCGTGTCCGCGGAAGTTGTGTCTGGCCCGANTCGATCGAAGTGATCTTCTCGCTCGTTACTATTTATAAAAAATATATATATACCGAGTTTCACAGGTGGAAAGGCTTATTGTAAAAAAGAAAAAAGAAGGAAAAGACGATAAGACGAAGGCGAGGCTACGCTTAGTAGTATTTATGACCGCGAGCGGAACGCCTCTTATCGGTGTGGCGCGAGTCGTTGAACTTGCATTAAAAACATCTGCCAACGATCGCTACGCGCGTGCGCACCTATCCAATCCCTTCGAAACGAATTTTTTTTTTCTTCCACCGTACGAGTTCTGGAAATAAATTCGCGCAACAATCGAAACGAGCCCGCGGCGATTCTTAATGAAAGAATCGAGTTAGCGATTCCCCGAGACGCCGAAGGGAGATTAATAAACTGTCAACCAGTATGAACTGGTATGAACCGCGGGTTAAATCGGCTCATTCGATCGCCGCAATTAGCCACGATTAAATCTCTCTCTCTCTCTCTCTCTCTCTCTCCTTCGTTAAACGAAATTCGAATTTCTCTTCTGTATCGTCCCTTCGCACGCAAGTTCTCGACAGATTAGGATAGGAACGAATCTTTTGAAACGAGAGAGAGTGATCGGCGAGAGAATAACGGGTACGCTAAAAATAACAATTTCATCAGTTGCACGGGCGCGCAAGGAAGAAGAAACTGACCCGAGTGAATAGGTTGGAGAGAGGCGCACGCACGCAAGCAAGCAAGCAAGCACATACACGGGATTTCCTGCGAGGAAGAGAAGAAAAATCGAGCGCCGTCCCTGCTCGCCATGTGTCTCGCGCTCCGCTCCGCAGTTTCACACGGCTGGCTATTACCTAATAATTCCCGTTGAATTATAACAAACGGGTTTCTCCCACGGTGCTCGCCGAATGTTCGCTCGATAAATTTCGCCGTTCAACGTTTAACGTCCGTTTTCGAGGCGCTCGATCTCGCGTGATAATCCGTGAATTGTTCAACTACGATTGGACAACGTCCAAATAATATATATAACGAACTTCTGTTTTCCTTTTGAAAATTTTGACGACTCAACGGTTAACTCAACGTTTGTGGAGACGAGAGGAGACTCATCTTCGTGATCGAAGAAATTAATAATCGATGAAGCGGAACGAAGAGGAGAAGGAAAAAAATTTATTCAAACGATAATAGAAATCATCGCGTTCGTTGTTAAAGCAAACAAGCGGTAAACGCCTACAAAAACCGGATTTTCTAGCCGGATTACGAGGATCTTACTAGTTTTAAAAGACGTTGGTTCGAGTGATTCATAGGGAACGATAAATATCGATGAATTGTGCGACGTTACCCGGTATTCCTTCGGTCTCCTTTGCAAGGAAGAAGGAGGGGAAGGAGGAGAGGAAACGTTATACTCTCGATGATCGAGTGGGAAATATTGGTGTGGGGAAATTTAACGGGAAGGTAGGCGTAATTTAATTATCGATAACACGAGGATGCATTTAGGTTTCAATTAGGAAATGCGAGCCCGCGCGTGCACGCACCGCCAGCCAGCGCGAGCTTGCAATTCCCGTTACGTTGAACAGGGCTATGTATACCACCGTAAACAAGGTAAATTATCGAGGCACGTAGTACGTAGTAGATAAATTTCACCGCCCTTTGCTTTAACAACAACAACAACAACAACAACAACAACAATAACCATCCTCCCTCCTAAGCTTACTCCCTCGAATTCTCCACAGAGGGCGTTGATAATAATTCGAAATAATTCGGGATCGATTTTTCGGGAGGGAAAGAAGGATCGGTTTCGATTTATTTCGGTTTTGGAACGAGGAGGAGGCGGTTTAATTTCGTAGTAGCTCGCTTTCGCATCGTTTTGCATTCGCATCCCGGATTTCCGCGTCGGCCGATACGGAATATGGGTGACGTAATTCCATCGGGGATCGGTGGAATTACTTTACTGGCCGAGACTTATTTTCAGTGAGCGCGTACCGATACGATACCGAGTTTGAAGAGCCGGTACCTTTTCGTCCGCGGCAATCTCGCCTCGCAGCGCTGAATTTGCATACGATAATATGCAAAGTGTATCGGTAACGCACGCATTCGCGGTGACGATGCAAGAATAATCTCTCTCTTTTTTTTTTTCTTTTCTTTTCTTTTCACCTGCCTCATTAAACGCAAGAAAAATATTTCGAGTTGCACAGCTTCGATCGAAACGGAAGTCTCTTTTTTACTTCGGTTCGAGGAAATCGTGCAACTCGATAAAAACTGTTTATTAGATTAAAAAGAAACTGGCTTGTATCCAGTTTATATACTGGATCGAAAAAAGTAGAAAAAGTTGATTCGTTTTTTTTTTCTTAATTCGTCGTCTTGAAAAATCTCGAGAAGAAAGAGAATGGAAACGCTCTTCCGTTCGAAGGCGAATTTAAGTATTATT